CATTGTGCATTTGAAGGTTATAATTCAGGCTGTCAAACTGTGTGACACAAATAAAGAATGAAGCTGTAATCCACAGCCTACTTTTTTCTGGATATGTTTTAGGTTTTGGAAAGGGAATCAATCGCAACTCTCCTTTTAACCTCTCTGGGTACTGACTAACTATTAAGGGCCCCAGGAACAGCATTTTATCATATCTTGGGGAAAAATGCTAGTAAACAACTCCTTTTGACCACGGGTAAATGGAGCGCAGCAATGAAAGTGTTGAACCTCAGTTAGAGAGAGTCATATACTGCCAGGTGCTTATTTGCGGCGTGGCATAGCTCAGGGGCAACTGCAATTAGAATCATCATGAAGCCCTAGACAACACAATAATCAGGGCAGGAGGACGAGGCAGGCAGAAACAGCTCGCTTGACTTACAAAGAAGTGTGAGAGCGTTTGTGGCGTTTCAGGGTACTACTGCGTGCAAACACATTGGTCACATCCGAATGGTTTCTCGCCAGTATGAACACGTCTGTGGTTTTCTAGGTCACCTGATTTAGAATAAAATTTCCCACAATGGTCACAACAGTATGGTTTCTCTTCAGAGTGAGCACGTAGGTAACTTGATGTAGGAAAAAATTTTCCACATTGGTCGCACCAGTGCGGTTTCTCTCCAGTGTGAAGATGTTGATGAATTGCTCGGTGAACTGATGTTGTGAAAGCTTTTCCACATTGGTCACAGCTGTACGGTTTCTCTCCAGTGTGAATACGCCTGTGCTGTTTAAGTTGACCTGATGTAGTGAAAGCTTTCACGCATTGGTCACAACTGTACGGTTTCTCTCCAGTGTGAATACGTTTGTGTCTTTTAAGGTGCTCTGATTTACCAAAAAGTTTCCCACACGGTTACACATGTATGGTTTTTCTCCAGTGTGAATACGTCGATGGGTTTCTAGGTGAGCTGATTGAGTGAAGGCTTTTCCACATTGGTCACAGCTGTACGGTTTCTCTTCAGTGTGACCTCTCTGATGAATCTTTAAAGATCCTGCTCTTGGGTAGGATTTGTCACATTGCTGACAGTGGTGACGCTCGAGTCCCTCCCTTTGTCTCAATTTCTAAAGAAACAGAAAGACATGCAGATAAAAAGATAGTGAGATTTTATGCTGGAGTGAGCTATCTAGAACCATAAATGGCTTTTATAGCAAGTCTGTGGAACATAAAACAGCTTTTTAGTTTGACTAATGCATTACCACCTGTGAGTGTGCCTGGGTAGCACAGACCTAGACTTAATTTGATTTGCGACATTTTCTAGTTGAACAATAAGATTCTTCCTCTTAAGAAAAGGTCCATTTCTATGGTTCCATCATGTTGTCAGATCTTAATTCTCTTAAAACTTTAAAATTCTCTGATCTAAGTGTGAATTTTTGTCCGTGGCCAAGTTATAACTTTGGTACAAATCTGAGCTTGCATTCAAGCCTTTATGGTAACTGAAACGGACCAGAGCGAGCTGACCGGCAGGTTAACAAGTTTATCCTGTCATTGTCTCTCTTTACAAAGACTAGGGGTGGCTGTAGCGGGTTAGAGCGGGTTGCCCTTTAATTGGTAGGTCGGCGGTTCAATCCCCAGCTAGACGATGTCAGGGTAAGATACTGAACACCCAAATTGTTCCGTGTGTGAATGTGTGTATGTTAGCCTAATTGCTCAAACAGAAACTATTTGTGTGTGGCGAGTGGTCTAGAAAGGCGCTAAATACAGAGCATTTACAAGTGTTGCAGTATGAGAGTCCTGCCTGAAGAGAGGCTATGAAGTCTTCATGTTACTGATCTCCAACACACAGACTAACTAGCTACCATTAAGTGAAGGTTTACAATTCAGAATGAACACTAATATCAACACCAGCAAGAAAATAGGGAAGACTCCTGCGAGCACCATCCATGAGAGCTCAAAAACAAGAATGCAAAGAACTATGGAAAGGCTGGAGTGCTTCAAGAGAACAGCCAGGCTTTATCACCCAACAAAATGGGGGCGGCCGAACCCAGGGCCCCGGCTGGTAGGGGGCCCACTTTGTGGACTATGAATTAAATAACGGTACATGACACTGCACGGTGGGGGGAGAATTCAGCAGCTCTTATCAAATGAAACAGTCCCTTCACTCGTGGTTTCAATGGTACCACAACAATGACAATTACCAACAAAACACACTAGATTCTAAAGAGACACACTTTAATAAACATAAATCGCAAAGTAACATTTGTATTTCAAACAAATGGCAAAACATATTAGCACATTTTAACAAAACTCCCTTCACACTCATGCATCATGGGAATTCTGAGAGACGGACGCAGGCCGTCTACGGTGTCCACAGTGGTTTATTTACGGCGTCAACTTCCACTGGAAGCATTTCAGCAGCGAAGCATGCAGCCTGCCCCACGTTAATGACTTGTTTTTAATGGTTCTTTTGTGCTTCTACTACTTTCTTCAAAGCTCTCTGTGGATCGCTTTCGTTTCTCGTCTTGACGGGTGCATCTAGCAAATACCACAGGGAGCATTTCAGAATCACTGATTTAACTGTTTATTGTTGATGTACGATCGGAAGTCTGTAACGGGTATTTTATTTTGAAGATTGACCAAATTCTCTGCCGTTTCTGTGTCTGACTTCCTGCCCGGTCCATCTGCTCTGTGCTGCTTGACGCTGGGACGCTTCCTGGACGCACTGCAGAGCTTCTGGTGTGAGCACAAACATTTAGTAGAGAGGCTGCTCCGGCAGCGGCGAAGCAGACTCTATGGACTCTGGGGTCGTGTAAACTTGGTTAATATGACTTTGTAGCAGGTAACAGTATTTCATATGCTGGCTTGTTTAAGAGCAACGCAGGCTTCTTTCTAACAGGCCACCAGTACTACGGTGAGCGCTCACAGTTGTATTAGTAGAATAATAAAACTGAAAAGGTATTTGGCTGATTTTCTAAATGTTTGCATCTGCCCAGCTCTGTGACAAGCGCCCGAGACCAGAGCTGATCTGCGTAACTGCACACAGCCTGGCTGACAGCTAACTGCAGTTAATGAAGCAAAATGCAGATTACAGACTGGTGAAGTTATGAATGTCTGAAAGGAACATGTAGCAAAAAGTAGATAACTGGCCCAAAGAAAAAACTCGAGTAGGCTAAAGAGTAAATGTACACTTTTAAAAAGGAACGTGAAAAAGGTGCCAATAACTTAGCCTATTTTTTTTTATTTAGCAAATTTGCGTTAGGCTACTTGTGACAAGTTACTACACACCGTGCTGCAGGCGTCCTCGCTGCTGTCTCAGGAAGGCTGTAAGTAACAGCAGCACAAAAGAAAAGTCTGTAATATCGAGGCACTTTGCTGCACCTGCCTCAAGCCAACTCTTTTTTCTCCCTCAACTTTTCAGCTCCACCTTTGCATGTTTTCTATTTGCCTACATGATTTTTTGTCCACGTTTCAACCGTTTATTTAGGTCTAATGCAGAGTGTGTCATCATGGAGACACACTCCGCATTGCCGGATAAAAGTGAGGGGGACAAAACATAGATTTTTAAATTTGGGAGGACACATGTCCCCCCCATGTATAATGGCTCCTACGCGTATGAATAAACAGCAGAGCTGAAACATTTCTATTAAATATCTACAGGCCACCGAAATATTCTGTTGTTTATTATTGTAACTGACTTTGAACATTATTTATTATGGGTATGGATATTATAATAGCTTTATTTATATAGCGCTTTTAAAACAAAACATACACAGATATCGTCCAAATAAACTGCTGTGTAATCTCAAAAACAACTGATGTTGACGGCTCGACAAAGTTTTTCTGGTGAGTACAAAACGTCTAAATCAGTCTGTAATGGGGAAAAGTGACTTAACATGTAGGCTACTTTGAATTATTCTATTAAATCATGTACTATGTTAAAAGTGGAGGAACGCCCCACGGCCAAACTTCAAAAGAGGATGTTTTGAAAAGCTGAGCACCAGTGGAGGAAAACTAAACTCCAGACTGACTCTGAACTCCACAAATACTCTTCAGAGCTGAAAGCTGCACGACGATCATTCAATAATAACGCAGGCAGACTGTTTGTCACTGTGAAAAACTCACCAACACACGAGGAAATATAATGACTCTGCTTCACTTTTCACCATCATTGTTTGTTCTGCGCGCTCCCGACACAACACGCGCTGCCCCGCGCATGTGCCGCGCGGGAAAACCCCGGAACAAAGAAAAGAGAAACGCTCGTGAGTTTTTCTTTCAGCTTCCTCTCTTCAAGATGAAAACAGGAATCACGGAGACACTTTGGAAATCAAACCACGTCAACACAAACCCTGGAGCGGGTTTTCAGGCTCTGATCTCTAACAACAGAATGAACGGATGATACACGGACCCTCGAGACTCTTCCTCGTGTCTTTAGTCTCGTGATGAAGTCATGAACACTGACCTGAACATCGGTGCTATCAGAGCACGAGGCTGCTGTTTGGCTCCTGTGGTCCGGGTTCTGGTTCTCCATCGTCCTGCAGGTCTCCGCTGTGACTGGTGGACCGTGTTGTCCTGGACTGAGTCTGGATTCTGGTCTCGGAGCTCTTCAGGCTGAGATCCAGGAGCATTGCGGGATCCCGTGGAGCCTTCGTGTTCTCGCGATGTCACTGTTTGAAACAAAGCAGCTTCTCTGTAGCTGCTGAAGTTGGTTCAGCGCGTCAGACTGCTGTGATGATTTTACTGAAGTCAGCTGTTCTCATCAGATTTGACTGACTCTGCTTTCTGGTTTCATTAAAAATAAAACTTTTAAAACTGCAGCTGCTTCAACATACTGACTAGAATGCAGAAATTCACAACAGCAGACTTGAGCCGACATGTACAACTACAATTGGTTTTGCTTTCAGTCTGAACAAACCTCAACAGATACAAAATAACATTCAACAACAGATCAAAATACACTACTACTCTATATACATTTAACATATTTAAACTCCGGAGACGAAAATGTAAAGTAATCAAAGGAACAAGAAATGACCTGTTTAAGAGAAACATCATGGGACCCAGATTTTACTCCAAACAGGATTGATCATGCTTTCAAGCCATGGGAAGGTGAGGGCCCCACAAGATTTTACCTAACGTATTATGAAGAAGAAGTGGACTAAAGATACAGCTAATAGATTTGGTCTCTCTGGTAATCACTTCTATTGATATTTGCAAGAGAGAAGCTATTTGAGAGAAAAGGTCCACATGAAATCTTGGAAACCTCCACCACTTCAGAGATACACAGTAAAGACTCATCAAAGCCACAACCCCAAAAACACAACTGGACACATCTAACAAATACATCAGGAAACAAACTCCAGCATGTAAAATGTATCAGTGACGTATATTGACCCAATAATGTCTAAACAAAATCAAATAAAAACAGTGAATACAGATAAAAAAAATAAAGAATAAAAAAATAAAAATAGTACTCAAGGAGGAAAATGTGTTTAAAAACATTCTGTGGTTCAAACTTCACAGTTATATACAGAATATTGGCTGATTCTTTGTGTGATAATAAACTGAAAATTGTTTAATATTTTATTTACCAAGCAATTTCTTGAGGAAAAAAACCTGGCAGACTACTGGACGGTGAGCTAATATTCCATTGTAGCGCTGGTTGAATAGTGCCCGAAATATTTACTTACAAGAATATTAAAGATTTTTTTTTTCCTTGAATCATGAATTACAATATTGACCACAATAATTCCAATATGACATTTTCTCCAAAAACGTGCAGCACTAGTTAGTCCAACTTTTAATCAGAAATGGGCTTAAACTGCACAGGGTAAATTTGAAGTCGATTTTACTAGTTCTCTAGGCCATTAAATCCAAAATGGCCGACTTCCAGTTGGGTGTCAGGCATTGCTCTAGGAGGCTTTTCTTGTATGTCTAGACATGTACCACAGATATTTCGTACGCTCATTAGGGGGCGCTAGCGAGCCATTTTACACGCCCATAAAATACATAATTTTTCTTTCCCGCCTCACATGTGTGCAAAGTTTCGTCTCTGCCTACAAAAAAAAGAAGAAATCCTTCAGTTTCAATAGAGTCCTTGCATGTTTTGTGCTCAGGTCCTTACAAAACACAATAATTTCTTGAATTTCTGGGGGGGGTGCGGTTAGTGTGTAAAGCCCCTTTTCCACTGAATGGTAGCGGCCGACTTCACTTGACAGTCCTTGCTGTTTTTGGGTTTCCATCGGGGAAAAGTTGTACCTGTTGGTACCTTTTTTCGTATCACCTCTGTCGAGGTTCCATGCGAGCTGAGGTGATACTAACGTGACGTAAAAACACGGCAGACTGCTGATTGGTCCGAGAGAATCGTCACTATTCACTGCGTCATCATTGCGCACGCCGGACAGAGGGCCAGCAACAGAAAGTTTCACATTTCACACGTTATTTCTGCACTAAATCTACTTCTGAGAAGTTTCGAGGTGAGAAATCAACTGTGTAGATTGCAAATATTGACAGTCTTACGAAAAGTGATGGCGGAACAAAAATGTTCTTGGAAGTTTTCAAAGTTGAGGAGCCCCCCAAGTGGCGGCGGGGGGGAGCATGTGCCAACCCGTGGGAGGAGCATGTGAGGCCGGCCATCTTTACCAACTAACTTTCTTCATCTAAATCATCAACCTGCCATTTGTGAGTATTATTTAATTGTTGTGAAATTTTTTTCAAAACGAAGCGGAGTTAATGCATTTGTGGGCTTTAAGGTGACAACGCTGTGAAAAAGCTTTCCCGCATTGGTCGCACGAGTACGGTTTCTCTCCAGTGTGAACACGTCTGTGCTTTACTATATCACTTGACGTAGTGAAATCTTTCCTACATTGGTCACAGCAGTACGGTTTCTCCCCTGTGTGAACACGTTGATGGCATTTTAGCTCATCTGATCTAGTGAAAAATTTCCCACATTGGTCACACCAGTACGGCTTCTCCCCAGTGTGAACACGTCGATGGACATCTAGTTGACCTGATGTAGTGAAGGCTTTCCCACATTGTTCACAGCAGTGCGGTTTTTCTCCAGTGTGAACACGATGGTGCCTTTTTAAGTCACCTGAAAAAATGAAACTTCTCCCACATTGGTCACAACAGTGCGGTTTCTCCCAGTGTGAAGAAGACGGTGTTTATTTAGGCTACTTAAGCTGCTGAAGGCTTTCCCACATTGGTCACACCAGTGGGATTTTTCCCTAGTGTGAACACGTCGATGGACATGTAGGTGACTTGATTGAGTGAAAGATTTCCCACATTGGTCACACCAGTACGGTTTTTCCCCAGTGTGAACACGTCTGTGCTTTACTAGATTATCTGATCTAGTGAAAAGTTTCTCACATTGGTCACAGCTGTACGGTTTCTCCCCAGTGTGAATACGTCGATGGACATGTAGGTGGCTTGGCATTTTGAAACTTTTCCCACATTGGTCACACCAGTATGGTTTTTCTCCAGTGTGAACACGATTGTGCCTTTTTAAGTCACCTGATGAAATGAAACCTTTCCCACACTGGTCACAGCAGTGCCGTTTCTCCCCTTTGTGAATAAGATGGTGCTTATTTAGGTCAAATTTGCGAATGAAAGCTTTCCCACACTGGTCACAAACGTACAGTCTCTCTCCAGTGTGAAGTCTGAGATGAAGCTTTAGATATGTAGGGCATGTGAAGGATTTGTCACAGTGCTGACAGTGGTGACGTTTGGGTCCCTCTCCTCTCCGTTTCTATAGCACAGACAGACAAACAGAGAGAAAGACAATAAGTGAGACGTCCTCCTGAACCATAAATGACATTTAGAGCATGTCTGTGGAACATAACCCACAATGTGTCCACAGAGGGACCTGGGGAAATGGCATTAAAGGAACCGCTCTAAGCTGGTTAGAGTTCTAATTATCGGACAGATCTCAGTTTGTATGTTTTAACCAATCCTACGTGCACAGCAAAGTTAGTCACAAGTTCAACAAGGTCCTGTGCTTGGACCGATCTTGTTCCCCTCAGTTAGCTAAACTTCAAGCATGCCTTAAAGATGCGGTTAGCAATTCTAATCCACAACACATATTTTTGTGAAAATCTCCTCACAATGACTTAACCACAGACATTCAGCTTACTTTCTAGTTCACCAAGACATCCTGCTGTAATGATGTTGGCTATTACGACAGGATACTGTCTTTCCTCTCTGCATGTTAGCTTCAAGTTGATTTTGCAGCAGAAGCTGTAACAGTATGCTAACCCAAAATTTAGCTCCGTATGAAAAGTGCAATGACATAACTTCTGTTATGAACTGGAACTATAGAAATTAAAGTAACTTGAAGATTTCCAATCCCAGCTTCTTGTAAGCTTTTACAGAAGAGCAAAATAAAGCAAAAAGAGTGTGAAGCAGAGGGCTCTGCAGCAGTTGGTTAAACTGCTCAGAAGTTCATTGGTACCCATCTCCCAAGCAGTAGCGAGGTAAGGTGAGATGGGGTGCCTGCAGAGCACATATGATATTAGAGGACAGTAAGTACCCAAAGCCACAGCCTGTTCACATTGCTGCCACCCGATCGTACCACCAGACTGCAGAGCAGCTTCTTCCCTCAAGCTGAGACTCCTAAATTTATGTTCAGCACCGCACCATGTAAAATAGTTATTTCTCTATATAACTTGAATGTAATGTTGACTTTGTAAGTAGCATATACTGTACAACACACTTAATCTCATACAATCCTGACTGTAAAAAAATTTTTCCTTGTACAAGGGCTTCAAACAAAAGTTTTTTTTCAAATTGACTAATGACAATTTTATTCACTTAAAGCCCCCTCCAGCCAGTTTTAACTACCGATTTTGGTTAATGTTCTTTCTCAAACAGAGAATGGGGGTGTGGTTAATAGTTGGACATAATACATTACCATGACAACCAAAAACTGACCAGCTGGAGTGTTCGCTAACGATATGCTGTCACTACACTGTAAAGTTTAGTACACCTTACTGTCTGGCAGGAGTAGCTATTACTTACCCATGACAGAAACTAATGTGCGCGTATAAGCTGTTATCAATCATACAGTCGATGGTCCTGTCACGCACTGCACACGATAACTCACTACGTTTTATGGTGTGCTTACTTTACCGCGGGGTGTGGGGGGTGCCTCCGCAGATGCATTGGTAAAACGGTCGTCAGCAAAATGCATGTTGCAGACTGTATATAAGACGGTGGCAGGTGAAAGTGCAACGCGTTTTCTGTCAGCTCTCCTCCAATACCGCACGCACAAATGAAAACCAATGGGAGGAAACTAAAAAATAAAATGAAGACCCTATGTTAGCCAACTTTCTGCAATAACTACGCTAGCTAACTACATCTGGCTAAGTACAACTTAGTTAACTAGAAAGGCAGCAACAACATTCAGACACAGAGAGACATACCTACCGTAAGTTCTAAGTAAATTACATGATAAATTGGTTAGCTAGCTCACAACGATGTTTATCGGTTTGATGCTCTGACTTAACGAGGTGTGACAGTGCGCCTACGCAAGCTTGGAGAATGATGTATGACTTATGGAATTACTATAGTCATACGTCACAACCCCGTTTTAACAACCAAGCAACTTTTGCAAGTTTGAACACAAAATTAATCTATTTGTCAAAAAACATTTGGCAAACTATGTGGGCAATCAGCATTGTAAGGAAATGACTCAGAAAAACATGAAATATCATGGAAATGTCAAAATACAACACTGGAGGGGGGCTTTAAAGATTAATTATTAAGATTAAAGGGGCTATATGTAGTTTACTTAAATAAATCACTTTTGTTTTATTGCCTGTGTGAAGGGGTTGTAACCTCACAAAAAAACGAGCCCCTTGCCTGTTTTTTTTCCTGTTGCCTCTGACGGCCAGTACACCCGATCCTACGCAAACATTTTCCTCAAAATCCATTTGCTGTTACATTCAAGCACTTTCCGTGTACACAGCAACACCAGCGCAGCTAACAACATGTAGAACACCAGAAAACGCCCGGCTCCCAAAACAAACTCCACATAAGGATAAAAACAACAATATAGTTCTATGTGCTGAAGCCCTTCTGGGCAAACAAGAATGAGATCGACTTAGAGTGAGAACACTGTCAACATCAGAAGGGCTTGAATCACGGAGAGCCCTCTGCTTTGTTTTGGAACTGACGAATAAGACAATAAGACAGAATTTAAGTATATTTATAACATTTATTGCCTATATCATAAGGTTGTAACGCCACCTAAAAATTGAGGCATTCACCAACTTTCTCAGTTGCTGTAACAGCCTGTATGGACCAGCAGTTTTCTATATGAAGGACTGGTCAGATTTCCTGCGAAAAGCTATGACGTTTATGTACGCAGTATTACAGCAAATCATGTGACACACAGTGTGATTTTGTGTTTTAGTTGGTTTAAACTAGATAATGTGAGCTTGCCTGCAATGATACGTGTGATTACTTTCACCGTCCACTTGATCAATACAACAAAATTGAAATAGGCCACAAGGGAACAAAGATGAAGAATAATGTTAGTACTGTAGGCGGTGTAGCACAGGCACAACCTGGAGAAGGAACTGGTCTAAATGACTGTATTTGTAAAACATTAAATTGAAAGTATATTGTTAATTTAATAGTACACTAAGTTTTAGCTAAATAGTCAGCTAACGTTAGCCAAACCCACACGCTCCTTGAATTTTCCCTGTTGTCTTCTCTTACCGATCCCGCTGCTGGCGGCGCATCTCGCTCTTGTTTTTCAGGAACGGGGCTGTTCAAAGTGGCCATAGAGCGACCGGCAAACAGGGTTAATCCCGTTACTCCTGATCGCCACTCCGACTATGTTTTGGACGATTAACAATGAGGGTCCGGCGGGGTGGGAGATTACGGTCGGTTGTATTCGTAAATCATTTTCCGGTTCGCACGGATCAATTTTTTGGAGCGTTTAAGAGTGAAATAGGCGCTCGGTAGATCCCACCGCAGACACCCTGTCATAAGCTATAACAAGTTAGAGACCAATGCAGAGCATTTTGCTTGGACAAGGATTTAATGAATAAAACAACCCACAGAAATGAAACTGCTGTAACTGGAATTTATATTCATCTAGTGGTAAAATAAATAATAGGGGTCGACCAATAATCAGTCTGGCCAAATATCGGCGCAGATATTCAGCATTTTTCCAGTAATTAGCATCGGTCATTTTAAAAACAGATAGCCGTTATTAATTTTAAAAAATGTTCTCCTTTGGCTCTGCTGCAGCCGCCTCTCTGACTGTAATCACCGCTCTGTGTGCTCAGTGTCCCACAGTACCAGCAGCTACAAGCAGAACACGACCGATATATCTGCCAAACGAACATGTAAATAAACATGACCATGTATTAGTAATAGTAGCCATGTAGTATTCGATGCATTCAACAGCAGCTCACTGTATCGTAGACAGCATGATTTAGAGCCAGACGTTTCTCGTAGCTTTAGTCAGAATTAAAGAGCGCTCACTTCACCTTCGGATCATCATTCAAATTGTTTGCGGAAGCTGGTAAAACATTCACAACCCAGCAGCAAAAACCCGGACTGGGTTCTGCGACTGACTGGACTGGAGTGACTGGACTGACTGACTGGACTCCGTGAGTTATCAGACTCGTTTTTCTGTACCATGATGTTTTGTTTTTGTTTGTGACTGAGGTTTATTCATCTTTTTTTGCTTTGACACTGGACTGAATATATTTTTGTGTTTTGGAAATTAACTTGTGCTTTACTTTGCAATTGTGTTTTTGTGTGAAATCTTAAATACACCAACATTTTGTTTTTTGCTAAGCTTTTGAGTTTGTGGTGTTTCTTTCTTTTATGGTCATTCAGTGGGAGGGTGTACGTTCTTTTGAAATATCCTTTGTGACATTTGATTTAAAAACAGTTGACCAGTATCTCACTGCCAGGGGAGAGACCTGGCTGCCACCCCGAATAGTAATAATTAAACCTGTGCACTCGAACCGTCACAACATGCTTATTCTCTCTCACTCTTTACAGACAGCTGAAAAAGTTCCAGTAGCAAATATTTATTGATGTGAAATTGTTTACATGTTCACTTTGAGACTAATCTATTTTATTAACAATCCATTTAAGAAAAGGTTTTATAGCCCACATACATACCAGCTTTCAATATCAGTCTGTTCTAAGTCTGGTTTATACAGTAAAAGGTCAAACAGCGTTATCACCACATAGGCTCTATTTACTGAATGTCAAGGAATGGTACTTCTACTAAGTGCATTAAAATATTAAAGACTCTAAACGTTCATAAAATATATACTTCGAATCATTTATCACTATTGTAGTGTTTAAAAGCATTATTTGGAGGTGGATGCACTTCTCGAGAGGCAGGCAAAACTCGGCATAACACCGGCTCGCACGCCGATCAGCCTATTGTACTAACCTCAGAGCCACTGCCCTCAGTCTCGTCTGCCAATTTGTTCGTATCTCTGGCTTTCTGAATTTCAGACACTCGCCCATTCTGAGTCGTCGTTAGTAGCACGTCAGACATTTTCTTTTCTAACAACTGAACGATTCGCGCAGAGCTGGATGCCAGAGCTCGTGCACCGCGAACACTGACGTAAACAGTAACGTTACCTGTACTGCCGTAAAATAATAATCTTTATTTGTAGAGCACTTTTCAAAAACAAGTTACAAAGTGCTTACCATCAGAGTCACACCAAAAGGAGTAAATTGTTAAGTCTCACACACACACAAAGTATTCATTTATGATGTTGCGGCATTAATTAAATCCTACGAATGGACAAGTAAAAATTTAAGACCTTGGTAAACGAAATTTAATACTTTGGTAACTAAATTTAAGACTTTTAAAGGCCTTATTTTTGGAATCTGAAATTTAAGACTTTTTTAATACTTTTAAGACCCCGCGTGTACCCTGCTCAATGGTAACGTTAGCTAGTTAGGCTGTGTGCTGTAATTCACTTGAAAGATATTTAATTAGTTTAATGATTTAATTAGGGTTAGGGTGTGAAAAATAATTGTGACTAGTTGACTAATCGAATAAATAATTAACAGATTAGTCAACCACGAAAATAATCATTAGTTTTAGCCCTAATATCCAAACATACATTATGTAGCTAAAGTTATCAGAACGTTGTTCCTGGTTTGCAGTCAATGGATCTTGAAGCGACGCCTGCGACACATCTGGCACCAGTTAATACAGCCACCACTTAAACCGTCACACCGGCCTGGTTACACTATAAACTGTAAAATCACAATTCTGATTATTCCGTTAAAAGAAATGTTAAGGTAGACAAAGACATTTGCTATTACCACGGACACAAAGTGATGTTTATTTGCACTTTATGTCTGTTTGATCCAGATGAAAGCAGCTGTAAATGTAAAGAGTGCGCGCGCTCCCGCGTACGGCCATCTTCACCTTTGTCCAGTTTTAGCTAGCTAGCAGGCGAACATCAGCAGGCTACATGCTACAAGAGACCTCCTCCTCCTCCTCCTCCTCCTCCTCCTCTCCGGTTCCGACCGTCACATTAAGTGTGGGTTCTGTAGAGATACGGGGTTCTGATGGCTCCACTGTTGAATCCTGCTACATTACATCTTGTTTACAGTCAATATGAAGCTACGTGTCGGAACCAGGCCGAGCTAACGCCACGTTAGCTTCTTGTTAGCTGCTAGCTGTGTTCATGAACACTGACCTGAACATCGGTGCTATCAGAGCTCGAGCCTGCTGTTTGTCCTCCGGGGACGTTGTTGCTCCGGGGCTCCGGGTCCTGGTTGTCCTCCTCCATTCCGCTCTTGTAGTGGTCCTGGTCTCTGAGATCCAGCAGGTCTCCTTTGTGACTGTCGGAGCTCTTCAGATATGAGAACTCGTGGACGGCCGTATTCTCGCGACCCCACAGGCTCTCGCGCGATCATAGAAGCCGCCGCCCCTGAGAAGAGTCCATCTTTACCCCGCTGTCAGCTGTGATTGGCTCCAGCCCCGCGACCCTGTACGCGGGATGGATGGATGGATGGATGGATGGATGGATGGAGTGATGGAGTGATGGATGGATGGAGTGATAGATGGAGTGATGGAGTGATGGATGGAGTGATAGATGGATGGAGTGATGGAGTGATGGATGGATGGATGGATGGAGTGATAGATGGAGTGATGGAGTGATGGATGGAGTGATGGAGTGATGGAGTGATGGATGGAGTGATGGAGTGATGGATGGAGTGATGGAGTGATGGAGTGATGGATGGATGGATGGAGTGATGGAGTGATGGATGGAGTGATGGATGGATGGATGGATGGAGTGATGGAGTGATGGATGGAGGGATGGATGGATGGAGTGTCATAACAGCGGCAATTGTGCAGCGACTCTTGTTTGAGATTTGAACAGCGTACAGACTCTGGAGGATGTTGCACCAGAATCTTTTGCATAGTCTCCAGCTGTAACAGGTATATTATATTCTGAAAGAAACTCCCCAGATAGCAGCTGACTCTGGGCCGAATCCGCCTCCAAACCGGCAGATCCGTGTAACAGTCACGCCCGTTTTACTGCCCCGTTCCGGATACGGCCCGCATGTAGTCTGTGTGCACTCAGGATCGGGCGTGAGCCTCCATCAGTCGGCGGAATCATAATAGTTCTGGCCCGGACTCGTCGGAACGAGCGCGCGAACTGTTTCTTTCTTTGGATCAGTTCGGACTGGAGGCTTTGTGGAAAGAGTTTATAACAGTAAGTTGAACGATGTTACAGTCAAACAGTTTAGTGTGATTGTTTTTAATAGTGGTGTAATGCTTGTTAACATCGTCACATCGGAATGTTTTGACCGGGTTTTAACTTCTTAAAATGGCTAAAACTGTTGAACAGTCATTGGCTAACGTTAGCTTTTTAGCTGGGTTAGCTAAATTAACTGAATGAACGGATAGCTAAGCTAGCTAGCATTAATAAACAACTTTGTGTGCAGCTAGCATAAAACATTAATGCTGTTTAACGTTAACGTTAGTTAACTTACAACGATGTTGTAACGTTAGTTTCCAACAGCACCAACTGACAGCAACTGTCTCCTTTTTAGGTTCAATCTTTTCTTCAGCCCTGGATTAATAGGGTAAGTTAAGTTAATGTAAGTATTTTTTTCCGACTTTGATTTGATCTTAGCTATAGTTGAGCATAACGTTATAAAGTTATGGTAAGTTAAGTGTTTAAAAAATCAAAGCCATCTAAAGAAGTTGGAATTTTCATCTGACATTAATCAAAACGTAAATTCATTATGACAAATAAGGTCTATGGGCGGGAAATCTCCTCTCTCCGTGTCTTTTCATTGACTTTGTATGAAATCACACCGCGGTATTATGGTTGAGGAGCAGTTCCTGATTCATTCTGGATATTTATTTGGGGCGTTTTCCGAGGGATATAGTGTGCTATGTTAAGCTTACCAAGTGTTTACCCTCAGATTTCTGTCAGGAGCTGTAAGAAATGTTATTTGTTTTGTCTAGAGGCTGATGGTTCTCAGTAATTCATCAAATTTTACAGTTAAAAATTACAATGAGGTTCATGATATCAGTACACTGAGATGGCTGGCAGTGGTACAATCAGCATTACTCGTTCTTTTTAATTTGCCTCACATTTTCTCTTGTTGTTGCAGGCTTTGTACATAACGTTACTACCACTGGGGTTTGTTCCAAAATCACAATGCAGTGCAAACCTGTAACATTAGCAGAGCTGAGCTCCTGGGGTCATTTGTCATGCAGGGTAACGTTACCCACTGGGTCTTAAAATAATTTAAAAACTCATTGAATTTAATATTCTCAAAATAAGTCTCTTACATTTATTTCCAAAGGTATTTTTTGTTGTCCTTTTCATATGATTATATAGATACAGGTAACGTTACACATAACTGTCAAATGTACAAAATGTTTTGTGTGTTTTTACTACTTTTTACATTTTGTCTGACTTCCGGTCAGCTCTGCTGTACTAGTAACTTCACCACTGATCTGCATACAGTGCTCTTTCATCCTTATTTTAGCAACGTTCACAGATAACATTCTGTTAATAGTATTTACTGTTCAATCTTGGAATATACATTCAATGGTTTTCTCAAACACAGTGGCCAAACAGATTAATTGGAAAGGAGTAAAGGGAAAAGAAATATTTTAAAGAAATGCTGACAAGAACTCTGTTGATAAGTATTTTAGTATACGTATTATATGTGGAGGTGACTAGTAGATGAACTAGGAGGGCAAAAAATCTAAATAATCATTCATTAGTTGTAATCGCGGTAAAATGTTCACTTAATTGGGAGTTTGATTTTAGGTCAAATCTTCCAGCCCTAGTCTAGTCCAGCCCCCTTTAAAATTACTAATCTCTGTGGATTTTATGTAATTTGTGATTTCCATTATCAGTTGAGTAATCACACATTCTTTTATCCTTTGCAGAAATGAACACATCAGCCATCCCCCACTCTTCCACTACTGATGATTTGTTGGGTGTCATGTGAGGGTTATGGCATTCCCACTTCTCCACTTGCCTCATCAATGTTTCCCGTAAAGCCACCAAACAATGTGTATGAACATTTTACAGTTTTTTATGGGTTTCACATGACTAGTTGGATATTGTATTTTGGCTATAAAATCTTTGTTATTTATACCATGGTCATGGAAAATGGTTAAAATCTAATGGCTGGCAGTAATCATCTATCAAGACAAACTTATCGCTTGTCGCTAATTAAAACGTTATCTTGTGTGTTTAGGCCGTAGAATCTCGTGTGTCTCCTGGCTTTAGCTTTATATGTAGAGTATGGTATCATGAATGTGGTATATATCTTCTCATCTCTCTCAGGGAGAAAGAAATCTTACTTTCTTACTATCAACATTACTAATGGTACATTACACTATGCAAGACTGATAGCAATGTCAATGTATTGAGCTTTTTAACTAAGCCACACTGTTGCTATTATTAGAGTTTAATACTTCTGCATTCATTTAAAAATAACACCTGTGTCATAGGTGTGTGGTTACTGTACAGTTACTAGAAACTAATCACCTGCACCTGCAAGTCAACTGGAGTGAAGTTTCTTGTTCCTACAGTTGTTAAAGACAGAAATGAGCTGTAAAATGTGTTTTAGATTGAATGTTAGTTTGGCAATTATCTACTTTGTTTTAAGTTTCTGTCCTCTCTTTTTATCTCAGACATTTCAAATATTTTAAATAAAATTTAAAATGTGTCACTCATGCGTTCTATCACTTTCTTTGTTGAAATTCTGTGTAGGACAAATAGAAACAAATTCAAAAGAAAAAAGTAATCGAGTTTAAAATGCAAGGAAAATGAAAACGAAAGTAAAACAAGAAATCTTAGTGTACCTTAGTGATATACCAGTCACTATTTGTTAAACATTATATAGACCAGCTCCTGCCATAAGTTCTGTGGTTGAAACTATCCCAGTAACCCTTTGGCTTCTCAGAGTTATCTAGTAGTAGGATCCATAGCACTTGGCGAGTCATGCACAACATCTGATGATAAAAATTTTAACTATCCCTTTAACAAAAAAAAATCATATTTTTGTATACGTTTTGTGGGTATAGATCAAGGTTATGAAAGAGGCCAGAAATGGTGTGAATCCAGGCCAGAACTAATAAATGGAGCTGGCCCAGTTCCGGCCCAGTGCCAGTCCAGATGTGAAAACCAGATCCTCAACAGTATCTTAGAGACTCTGGGCCAGATCCAGTATGGAACTGGTCCAGATCTGGCCCACATTTTTCCATTCAAAATGGAGGAAGGGTTTCTATATTTGTATGACAGGATTAAAATTTTAGGTCATTCTCCTCTGGTCCTTAGTAACAAATATACCTAAATGTAGAAGTTCATTTTATATTGGAATATTACAAAGAACTGGTTTAGAGCTCTCTTAAGTGGCCATAAGATCACACTAATGTACATTCAAATACAAACCAGAAGCCTTAGAATACCTCTTGATTACATCAATTGCAACAGAAATTTGTTTTTTTCATGAATAATGTGGTGTCATCTGCCAGCTGAGTTATAATTAATTCTCTGAAATGGGGCAACCCTGCCTAATGCAGCTAATTATGGCACATATGACAGCTAGATTAAATCTAGGGGATGTACCACCCATAACTTTAACAGAACTGTTGCTACTCTTATTATTAATTAATATTTAATATCTGTACAGAAAAAAATCACCAAAGTGAAATTTCTTTAAAGACTAAGATGAACTGATGCTCCACTGTATTGAAAGCTTTATAGAAGTCTAAAAATAAAACAAACCCATTATCAATAAAATCTGCGTAATCCAGGACATCTAGGACAAGTCTAATATTATTTGTAATTTATCTTTGTTTGGTTTGGGAATTAACATGGTCAGTCCTTGAGTCATGGCGGTTGGAAGAGATTCTCTTTCCATGCATTCGGCAAAAACTTCTAATAAAAAAGGAGCCAGTTTGTTAGCAAAAGACTGATATAATTCTGAAGTCAGTCCATCAGTCAGTCAGGGCCGCCAAGAATTTTGGGCCCCATGATTAAAAAAAATGTAATTGGACCACCTCTGCACAGCTGTTGTAACCACTTCTCTAAGACTTAACTGTCCCATCAAAAGCTTTACATAACTGTAATTAAAGGCTTGGAAGTGTCAATATTTACTGCTGGTGATTTGACCATGCAAGTCTGCATACAGGATGCAGTTCACTATTTGCTTCTCAAATAAATTGCCCATCATGATGGAATAATAATAAAGTCTGTATCTGTAGATGTCATTAATGGCCATAATTCAATTTAAATGAACCTATCAAACTGGATTATTTCAATATAGTCTGTAACTTACATGGAGGCTGAGGTAAGCTGCTGTCCAGCATTCAGTACAGACAGGTGGTTTATTTCATAATGATCATTATGGGAGCAAATAATTTGTGTTTGAATATCTGTCATTTTGTTATGGTAAAAAGAGCAAGAGAGACAGAGAAATCCCCACAGACTCCCTGGCATGATGCTAACTGGCCTGTCATTAACACAGTGCTGTTCACCTTCTTCACTGGGACAGGGAGGCTACAGTTATGGGCAGACTGGGCTGCTGCTTACTCATCTGTTGTTAGTCTGCTAAAGGGGGCAGAGGTTAACACCACTCACGGACTAAAGGCCTCCCACCTGTCTTAGTTAAAAACAGGGTTACAGATTGACATCCTTTCCTTTGTCTTTCCTCTCTTTCTTTTTTTAAAAACCAGATTTTGGTTCACTAGACAACATTGTTATCACCGTTTCTGGCGCATCTATTGACTGCATCTAAACACCTCACTGATACAGTATGCTGAGGCAGGACCAAACCATTTCATTCAGATACAGGGTGGTTGGTCAATATGGAGATTCACTTTTTTGTCAATGGAGATTTTTACTGCCAAAAACAAGTAAAAACAAAAAGATCATTAATTTTATTATTATACTTGAAATATATTTATACTCTATGATGGTTTATATAATGTACAATTTTATATTAGTTTATAATTATTTTTTGGGAATTGTCCTAACCCCTCCATAAGGCGCCCATGCCATCAGTACCTTGTGATTTAAAAAAAAAAAATGTTTTTTTGATGATTAATTGCTTTCTTAATTTCCTCAGGTGTGATAGGTTTATCACATAATTCCATTTTGTTCTCATTTAACTGTCAGAGAGTTTATAAAGGACACAGCTGATTCTTGGTAGAATTTAGAGCTACAGTGGGTACGGAAAGTATTCAGACCCCTTTAAATTTTTCACTCTTTGTTTCATTGCAGCCATTTTCCAAAAATCAAAAAAGTTCATTTTATTTCTCAGTAATGTACACTCAGCACCCCATCTTGACAGAAAAAAACAGAAATGTAGAAATTTTTGCTAATTTCTTAAAAAAGAAAAACTGAAATATCACATGGTCATAAGTATTCAGACCCTTTGCTCAGTATTTAGTAGAAGCACCCTTTTGATCTAATACAGCCATGAGTCGTTTTGGGAAAGATGCAACAAGTTTTTCACATCTGGATTTGGGTATCCTCTGCCATTCCTCCTTGCAGATCCTCTCCAGTTCTGTCAGGTTGGATGGTAAACGTTGGTGGACAGCCATTTTCAGGTCTCTCCAGAGATGCTCAATTGGGTTTAAGTCAGGGCTCTGGCTGGGCCATTCAAGAACAGAGTTCTTGGAGTTGTTGTGAAGCCACTCCTTTGTTATTTTAGCGGTGTGCTTAGGGTCATTGTCTTGTTGGAAGGTAAACCTTCGGCCCAGTCTGAGGTCCAGAGCACTCTGGAAAAGGTTTTCGTCCAGGATATCCCTGTACTTGGCCGCATTCATCTTTCCCTCGATTGCAACCAGTCGTCCTGTCCCTGCAGCTGAAAAACACCCCCACAGCATGATGCTGCCACCACCATGCTTCACTGTTGAGACTGTATTGGACAGGTGATGAGCAGTGCCTGGTGTTCTCCACACATACCGCTTAGAATTAAGGCCAAAAAGTTCTATCTTGGTCTCATCAGACCAGAGGATCTTATTTATCACCATCTTGGAGTCCTTCAGGTGTTTTTTAGCAAACTCCACGCGGGCTTTCATGTGTCTTGCACTGAGGAGAGGCTTCCGTCGGGCCACTCTGCCATAAAGCCCCGACTGGTGGATTGCTGCAGTGATGGTTGACTTACTACAACTTTCTCCCATCTCCCGACTGCATCTCTGGAGCTCAGCCACAGTGACCTTTAGGTTCTTCTTTACCTCTCTCACCAAGGCTCTTCTCCCCCGATAGCTCAGTTTGGCCGGACGGCCAGCTCTAGGAAGGGTTCTGGTCGTCCCAAACGTCTTCCATTTGAGGATTATGGAGGCCACTGTGCTCTTAGGAACCTTAAGTCCAGCAGAAATTTTTTTGTAACCTTGGCCAGATCTGTGCCTTGCCACAATTCTGTCTCTGAGCTCTTCAGGCAGTTCCTTTGACCTCATGATTCTCATTTGCTCTGACATGCACTGTGAGCTGTAAGGTCTTATATAGACAGGTGTGTGGCTTTCCTAATCAAGTCCAATCAGTATAATCAAACACAGCTGGACTCAAATGAAGGTGTAGAACCATCTCAAGGATGATCAGAAGAAATAGACAGCACCTGAGTTAAATATGAGTGTCACGGCAAAGGGTCTTAATACTTATGACCATGTGATATTTCAGTTTTTCTTTTTTAATAAATTTGCAAAAATTTTTCTGTCAAGATGGGGTGCTGAGTGTACATTACTGAGAAATAAAATGAACTTTTTTAATTTTTGGAAAATGGCTGCAATGAAACAAAGAGTGAAAAATTTAAAGGGGTCTGAATACTTTCCGTACCCACTGTATATCAATCTCTATAAAAGTTACTACAGTAACTGGACATTAATTTGAAATCCTCTTCTACAACCCCATTAATATTTAGTCTATTAATATTGTTACTGTTAGAATGATGTTAGCTAATTCCACTTTTTCCTCCTCTAATAGTATATCTGGGTTCCTCTGAGATAAAAAGATCTTTGTTATTACCTCTTCAGCTCTTCTGGATTTGACTTTTATACTACCATATTTTCTTAAAAATTTACCAACCTCGATTTTTTAAAGTTGCCAATTATGTCTGAATTGTTTTTCTTCTTTAGCTTTGGACCAAAAAAAAGAGAAATCAGAAATGTAACCACTTTTTTAACTTTGTTGCTATTGAGTTTCCAATACACTAACTGCTCAGCACTTTTAACAGTGGATAATTTTATCTTAATGTCTATAGCCTTATGACCGTTGGCCATAGTTCCACATCAATAACATCTTTATTAAAGTTCTCGGAAACTAACCAAAAATGAGAAGGTTCCACTGCAGCCCGCAGCAGCCCGCAGACAATAGTGACGGAAGTTGACATTAGTTTATCTTCCATATACGATTCGTCCCAGAAGCCATCGTGCACAAAATGTGATGACGTTTATCTCGGGCGCGCGGCCCATGCAGAGCCGTTAAAGAAGGTAAGTGTCTGAGTGCACAGATGCACTGCCAGTCAAGCTTCATGCTAAGACGGCTAGCTAACCGTTATACATGTCAATCTAAAAAGGAGACAGTGATGGACTCTTGCCAATGGTAAATATAAATCATTAAATCATGCCATACTACATTTAAAAGCATTTCTATGGAAATGAGCAACATAACGCCAGCTTACCTACATCTAGCCTGTACACGCTACAGCTCTGTCTCCAGTAGCTGAGTGCTGGTCGGATCCGTCTGAGTGATGGGATTGTGGGCGTGGCCATACGGTCAATGCAAACCAATGATTGGTCAGTCAAACCCACCAATAAAATCTCTTATTTCGACCATTTTTGACTCGCAAACGTTTCGACTTGCAAAACTCTCACTTGCAAAATGGTTTAACCTGCAAAACTTTCTGACTCGCAAGGAAAACCTTTCGACTTGCAATCAAAGAAGACAAATTAGCAACTGAAACCGAATCTGAACATAACACATAAAGCATCTCTGTTCTCTGTTAACCAGACCTTACGGACAAGGTGTCTCTTTGGGATGATTGACCCTGAGGCTGGATAAATAACAGGCTCACTCAGCTCTCCTTACTCATTCGAGCATACATGTACACGATGTATGTGTGTTGCTGTGAGCCCTTCTGAAGAAGACTTGAATTAAACACTTGGATCTGGAGGGGAAACCGTGCAAGGCTGGAGTCTGGTACTCTGGACTTCCAAACAATGAATGTGAAGGCCAACGCCTGACTGGCTGAGGCTCGCTAACCACCTGTGATCCATAAGAAGCTGGTGGCTGGCGACGCTCTTTGACACTCCTGTTTATTATTGGAGATTTCCCTATCCTGACATGTTGTGTGATTCTTTATGCTAGATCTATGATTGCTACAAGAATTTAATTATCTATGGACCAGTATAAGCAAATAATAACTGAGCTGATTCAGTTGAGTGGATCCCACCATGGAGTGGTGAAGAAAATGAAATAGTCTGGATAAATAATAATAATAATAATAATAAGGCTCACTCAGCTCTCCTTGAATCCAACAATGGCAATCCTGTATAACCAGTACCATGAAGCTGCTTATGGACTGGCTCTGTTTTCCACCCAGTTTAGATAAAGTTACATCAACATTATCACAAGCATGTATGTAATGTAATTAATGTAGGTGACTTGCCTAGTGAAGCAGCTCATTAAATGGTTGGTGCACCTCTCTGAGGATCCTTCCCACTGATGACAGCTATCCTGTCATAAATTTTCGTCCATAAGATGGACCTGTCTGTCAAGAAAAGTAATTTGAACGATTATTCAATTTCATAAGTAATTTTTAAATTCTTAAGTAATTAGTAGTCTTAGATTTTAAATATTGTAGTGCGTTTTAACTGAATGTGACATGTAGAACTACAAACACAGTTATCCTGCCCTACACAATTAGCGGTTCATTTAGATCGGGTGGCCTGAGATAGAGTCCAACTCCCGGCCTGAATAAATATCCCCAACCGCCCCTTAACGCCACAAAGACTGTCCAAGGGAGCAGTTAGAAGCAGTGTCATGTTTGTGGCTTGGTTGCAAACTTAATCATATTGTATTCAAGCTTATTATGATGCGTCTCAATTTGTGCCCTTCCATACTTGCATTAACAATAGTAAGTGTGTTGACACTGAGAAGCACAGCAACATGCAGTGCACTGACCAACAACATGGAAGAAGGAGAAAGCAGCAGGGAGAGAGGCCAACAACCCAACGAATTTTACAATTTTTGTATATTTGGAGGTGAGAAATCAATTGTGTATGTTTCGAATATTGGCAGTTTTTGATGGTAAATGCTCAAACGTTTTTGGAGTTGAAAAGCTCCACAACTGCTGCCGGGGGAAGCTAACGAGCCAGTCGGCCGGCCAGTCAGCTCACAGAGCCCTCATTCCCTACAGTCACACTGCAGCCAACGCAGCAGGTGACTCCAGCAACTACGGCAGAGGAAACCACAGCTCTAAGACAGTTTTAATGTTTGTAATTTAAATAACATCTAGAGACATCTGGCTTCTGATGTACAGAACATTCTTGGCTTGTGAAACTTGAAAAAAATTAACAGAAGTAGTATGAAAGGGTACTGTTGTTGCTTTATTATTATTATTATTATTATTATTATTAGTTCAGACATTAACATTTATTCATTTAGCTGACGCTTTTATCCAAAGCGACTTACAATTGCTATATATGTTAGAGGTTGTACGCCTCTGGAGCAACTAGGGGTTAAGTGTGTTGCTCAGGGACACAATAGTGGATGGGTCACAGTGGGGAATTGAACCCGGGTCTCTCACATGAAAGGCATGCGTCTTATCCACTGTTAGTGTATAGTTGTGGATACATTACCTGGTTTTTATTGCTTTTTTAATATAATTCTTATTTATGCACCAATATACCAAAACAAATTCCTTGTAAGTCAAAACATACTTGGCAATAAATCCGATTCTGAGTTTTTTTATTTTGGGGGCCTGGCTGATATATTGGAGCTCTGCATGTGGCCAATGTGCTAGGGGGTACTGCGCAATCTTGTCATTTCTGGTTCTGGTTATTTGATTCAATCAGACTTTCACAAGAACAAAGGTTTGTTCAGACTGAACACAAATGTCATCTGTAGCGTTTTTGTACTCCCTGTTTATTCAGCGCGTCTTGCTCCTCACTCCACACTGGATCAAACCACAGCAGTTTAACCCACAGGCATCCAGCGGACCTGGTTCAGGCCTCTTAAACATGTGGACTTTGTGATTTTTTTTTTCAAGTGTTGGCTTGTGATGTACAGAAAATTCTTGGCTTGTGAAACTGGGACTGTCATTGCTTTTTTATTATTATTATTAATAGACTTGGCTTTGCTTTCAGTCTGAACAAACCTCAGATTCAAAAACACATTCAGCAACAGAAAATAACAACAGATCAAAATACATAACTACTCTATATACAGTTAACACATTTAAAATCTGGACAAGAATATGTAAAGTAACAGAAGGATCAAGACATGACCTGTATGAGAAAAACATCATGGGACCCAGATTTTACTCCACAAAGTATTGATGATGTTTCCAAGCCATGGAAAGGTGAGGGCCCCACAAGATTTTACTTAACGTATAATGAAGGAGTGGACTATTCTGAAGATACAGCTAATAGAAATGGTCTCTAGTAATCACTTCTGTTGATATTTGCAAGTGAGAAGCTATTTGAGAGAAAAAAGGTACACATGAGAACTCCTGGAGATCTCCACCCCTTCTGAGATACACGGTAAAGATTCACCAAAGCCACAACCCCGAAAACACAACTGAACATATCTACCAAATACTTCATGTGTACAATACTATACTTAACCAAAACAGGAAATGTATCAATGATGGGTACTGACACTATAAAGTATATACAAAAGAAAATAAAAATCTAATTTCACTCAACACCAGTTGATTATTAAATCCAGTTACAGCCGTTTCATTTCTGTGGGTAGCTTTATTCATGAATTCCTTGGGCAAGAAAATGGTTCTACATTGGTCTCAAATTTGTTAATGCTAAGTGCCAACTTGCCAATAATCAACGTGTTTACCACTTGAAAGTTTTCTGTAGCACATCAAATTTTTTTTTAGTGTCCTGCCCGATCCAGGCTGTGATTGGTTGGATCTACAAAAAGGGACACTGACAAGTACATCAGCTTTATGGAAGGTTGAACATGTTGAACAAAAAAAGGCACCAATACAGCCAACGTTAAACGGTAAGTTAGCCAAACCAAAGCCTTCTCACCTTCCCCCCCTCGCACGCTGCTCATTAATAATTCTTTAGTTTGCACGTATGGTTTTTAGGGGCACATGCAAAAGCCCGGTGTGGGCATGGATAATGAGTCTGCTCATTATTTTTCACACACACAGTACACTTTTTGTTTGATTAAATCGCACCCTTTTGAGGTTCTATAATTGCACAGGTTGACATCACGACCCTTTGCTTAGCCACACCCCCCCTTCGTTAGTGGTGGTAAGTCTGACAAACTGTCGGAACTGTCGAACCTTTAGCACGGCACTGCCGCTGTCTAGTACTTCACTCCCTGGAGAAATAATGTCTAACTTTTGGAACAGAGTGTTAGAGCATTGTGCATTTGAAGGTTATAATTCAGGCTGTCAAACTGTGTGACACAAATAAAGAATGAAGCTGTAATCCACAGCCTACTTTTTTCTGGATGTGTTTTAGGTTTTCGAAAGGGAATCAATCGTAATTCTCTCTTTTAACCTCTCTGGGTATTGACTAACTATTTTAAGGGCCCCAGGAACAGCATTTTAGCATATCTTGGGGAAAAAAGCTAGTAAATAACTCCTTTTGACCACGGGTAAATGGAGCGCAGCAATGAAAGTGTTGAACCTCAGTTAGAGAGTCATATTCTGCCAGGTACTTATTTGCGGCGTGGCATAGCTCAGGGGCAACTGCAATTCGAATCATCATGCAGCCCTAGACAACACAATTATCAGGGCAGGACGACGAGGCAGGCTGAAACAGCTCTCTTGACTTACAAAAATGGTCAAAATGAAGAAGTGTGAGAGCGTTTGTGGCGTTTCAGGGTACTACTGCGTGCAAACGCTTTCTCACATTGGTCACATCCGAATGGTTTCTCGCCAGTATGAACACGTCTGTGGTTTTCTAGGTCACCTGATTTAGAATAAAATTTCCCACAATGGTCACAGCAGTATGGTTTCTCTTCAGAGTGAACACGTTGGTGACTTTTTAGGTAACTTGATGTAGCAAAAAATTTTCCACATTGGTCGCACCAGTGCGGTTTCTCTCCAGTGTGAAGATGTTGGTGAATTGCTCGGTGAACTGATGTTGTGAAAGCTTTTCCACATTTGTCACAGCAGTATGGTTTCTCTCCAGTGTGAAAAAGATGATGTCTTTTTAGGGAGGAGATTGAAGTGAAAGCTCTCCCACATTGGTCACAGCTGTACGGTTTCTCTCCAGTGTGAATACGCCTGTGCTGTTTAAGTTGACCTGATGTAGTGAAAGCTTTCACGCATTGGTCACAACTGTACGGTTTCTCTCCAGTGTGAATACGTTTGTGTCTTTTAAGGTGCTCTGATTTACCAAAAAGTTTCCCACACAGGTTACACATGTATGGTTTTTCTCCAGTGTGAATACGTCGATGGGTTTCTAGGTGAGCTGATTGAGTGAAGGCTTTTCCACATTGGTCACAGCTGTACGGTTTCTCTCCAGTGTGACCTCTCTGATGAATCTTTAAAGATCCTGCTCTTGGGTAGGATTTGTCACATTGCTGACAGTGGTGACGCTTGAGTCCCTCTCTTTGTCTCAATTTCTAAAGAAACAGAAAGACATGCAGATAAAAAGATAGTGAGATTTTATGCTGGAGTGAGCTATCTAGAACCATAAATGGCTTTTAGAGCAAGTCTGTGGAACATAAAACAGTTTTTTAGTTTGACTAATGCAGTGCCTGGGTAGCACAGACCTAGACTTAATTTGATTTGCAACATTTTCTAGTTTTTTTTCTAATTTTCTAGTTTCTAACAATAAGATTCTTCCTCTTAAGAAAAGGTCCATTTCTATGGTTCCATCATGTTGTCAGATCTTAACAAATCAGAGAATTTTAAAGTTTTAAGTGTGAACTTTTGTCGAACGGCGTGTCCGTGGCCAAGTTATAACTTTGGTACAAATCTGAGCTTGTACTCTAAACTTTCCACGTTTAATGACAGTCACACATCTACATGCAAATATTCACTCAATGTCAGAGCACCAACTACAGGCAAAAGGAAGTAAGCCCTTTGACAAAAATAATTTGATTTACATGGCATTTGCACAGCATAGTCCACACTTCACGTACTAGTACAAGACTTTTAATTAATAGTAAGGCACCAAATGTTCTGCCACCGAAAATTAATCTGCCAAACATAGCAAAAAAAAAAAAAAAATTAAATAAAAATAAAAAAGCACTTTCGGTGTTCAGCATAACCAAAGAAATCCAAAGACATTTTACCAAACAACATGTCGGCAGTGTAGAAGCATTTTAAAGTGTGATGCAAAACTCGCCGTTTGCAGACACAGTTCTGCTGAATTCCTAGCACATCCACTTCTTCTGTGGCTGACTTCTTAGAAGAGGCAACAAACGGACTGATCATGGTGTTTCCGTCACTCGTTTATGAGACGGCGATTAAGCTAGCCACACCTAAATTTGGAGTGCACACGCATTCAAGCCTTTATGGTAACTGAAACGGACCAGAGCGAGCTGACCGGCAGGTTAACAAGACTAGGGGTGGCTGTGGCTCAGGAGGTAGCGCGGGTTGCCCTTTAATTGGTAGGTTCAATCCCCAGCTCCGACATCGATGTCAGGGCAAGATACTAATTGTTCCGTGTGTGAATGTGTGTATGTTAGCCTAAGTGCTCAAACAGAAACTATGTGTGTGGTGAGTGGTCTAGAAAGGCGCTAAATACGGAGCATTTACAAGTGTTGCAGTATGAGAGTCCTGCCTGAAGAGAGGCTATGAAGTCTTCATGTTACTGATCTCCAACACACAGACTAACTAGCTACCAGTGAATGAGTCTAACAATTCAGAATGAACACTAATATCAACACCAGCAAGAAAATAGGGAAGACGACAAGACAGAGTGGTCTACTCCTGCGAGCACCATCCATGAGAGCTCAAAAACAAGAATGCAAAGAACTATGGAAAGGCTGGAGTGCTTCAAGAGAACAGCCAGGCTCTATCACCCAACAAAAAGCTCACAATCAGGTTTATTGCCAAGTCGGTTTTAACTCAAGATTTTTGCTTTGGTATGTTGGGCCATAGATAGCCATAGGGCTCTGTGGGTGTAACTGGCCGGCTCGCTAACCTCTCGGGTGCTTGCGGAGCTTCTCAACCCCGGAAACGTTTGAGCACATTTTTGATTAGCCATCAACATTCGTTTTTTCAAAATCTACACAGTTGATTTCTCTCCTCAAAACTTCTCAAAAGTGTATTTAGTGATGAAACAGCGTGCAAAACTTAAAACTGAACCCAAACTGGAACCTGGTTCCACAGGAGAGGAGCTTGATAGCTGAACGCTCTGGCTCCTAGTCTACTTTTGGAGACTCTAGGAACCACAAGTAACCCTGCATTCTGGGAGCGCAGTGCTCTGGTGGGGTAGTAAGGTACTATGAGCTCTTTAAGACAAGATGGTGCCTGACCATTAAGAGCTTTGTAGGTAAGAAGAATGATTTTAAATTCTATTCTGGATTTTACTGGAAGCCAATGCAGAGAAGCTAAGACAGGAGAAATATGATCTCTTTTCCTGGTTCCTGTCAGAACACGTGCTGCAGCATTCTGGATCAGCTGAAGAGTCTTAACGGACTTTTTCGAGCAGCCTGAGAATAAGGAATTGCGGTAATCTAGCCTTGAAGTAACAAATGCAAGGACTAGTTTTTCTGCATAATTTTTAGACAGGATGGTCCTGATTTTCGCAATAATACATAGGTGAAAAAAGAAATTTGCTTAATGTGAGACTTAAACGACATGTCCTGATCAAAGATAACTCCTAGATTCCTCACAGTGGTGCTGGAGGCCAGGGCGATGCCATCAAGGGAAACTATATCTTTAGATAATGCGTCACGGAGGTGCTTAGGCCCCAGAACAATAACTTCAGTTTTATCCATGTTTAATATTAGAAAATTACAGGTCATCCAGGTTTTAACATCCTGAAGGCACATTTGAAGTTTAGCTAACTGATGAGTTTCATCTGGCTTGATCGATAGATATAACTGAGTATCATCTGCATAACAATGAAAGCTTATGGAATATTTCCTGATAATATTGCCTAAAGGAAGCATATATAAAGTGAAGAGGATTGGTCCGAGGACAGATCCTTGAGGAACTCCATGACTAACTTTGGCATGCATGGAGGACTCATCGTTAACATGTACAAACTGAAATCGATCTGATAAATAGGACTTAAACCAGCTTAGAGTGGTTCCTTTAATGCCAATGAAATGTTCCAGTCTCTGCAATAGGATCTGATGGTCAATGGTATAAAATGCAGCACTAAGATCTAATAAAACCAGTACAGAGACAAGTCCTTTGTCTGATGCAATAAGGAGGTCGTTAGTAATTTTCACCAGTGCTGTCTCTGTGCTATGATGAGCTCTAAATCCTGACTGAAAATCCTCAAATAATCTGTTGCTCTGTAGAAAGTCACACCAGAACCTTAGAGAGAAATGGAAGGTTAGATATAGGTCTATAGTTGGCTAAAACATCCGGATCAAGTTTGGGCTTTTTCAGAAGAGGTTTAATTACAGCTACTTTAAAGTATTGTGGTACATAGCCTGTTGATAAAGATAGATTGATCATATCTAGAAGTGCTGACTAAGGGTAAAACATCTTTAAGCAGCCTAGTCGGGATGGGGTCTAAGAGGCAGGTTGATGGTTTAGATGAAGTAATTATTGAAGTTAGTTGGTAAAGACTAAGGGAAGCAAAGCAGTCTAAACATTTATCTGGTTTTACGGCTGTTTCTAATTTTCCTGAGTTAAGTAGAGATAAGTCTGTGCCAGTTGAGGGCAGGTCATGGTGAATTTTGTTTCTAATAGTTAGAATTTTATCATTAAAGAAGCTCATGAAGTCGTAACTACTGAGAGCTATGGGAATACTAGGCTCAATAGAGCTGTGACTCTCTGGCAGAGAGTTTCTTTTTCTGCTGAAAAGAAACCTGGGGTTGTTCCTATTTTCCTCTATTAATGACGAGTAGTACGCTGCTCTGGCATTACGGATGGCCTTCCTATAAGTTTTAAGACTATCTTGCCAAATTAAACGAGAATTTTCCAGTTTGGTGGAACGCCAATTCCTCTCAAGTTTCTGCGATATTTGCTTTAATTTGCGAGTTTCAGTATTATACCATGGAGCTAACCTTCTTTGTTTTAGTATTTTCTTTTTTAGAGGGGCTACAGAGTCGAGTGTCATTCGCAGCAAGCCTGCAGCACTATCAACAAGATGATCGATTTGGGAGGGACGGAAATTACTTTGTGACTTGAAAATGAATTTAGAGCTGATGGAATCACATCCTTAAATTTAGCTACAGCACTATCAGACAGACATCTTGTATAGAAATTTTTGCCCAAAGGCGTGTAGTTCAGCAATACAAACTCAAAAGTTATCTGACTCGGATAAAGATTTTATATAATAGTATATAACTTACACTAGTCTAATATTAATTCAAATTACAGCTGCTTCCGTTTGGGGTTGTTTTTTAGTCAATAACTTTGTGCAAGAAAAATGCTCCAGGCTACATGATAGTCTCCAACCTTGATTTTGGGCAGGCTACTAACTCGTCAATAATCATAACTGTTTATGCATTACACTTTTTGAGGGAGTTCAACATTTATAAAGTTTGTTGCAGCACATCAAGCTTTTTTTCTTTTAAAATCCCGCTCCATCAAGGCTGTGATTGATCTGTTCACAGAAAGTGACACCGACGAGAGCATCGCCTTTATGAAAAGTTGAATTTGTTTCAATAAAAAGCAGAGATTTAGCTAAATAGTCAAACATTAGCCAAACCCACACGCTCCTTGAATTTTCCCGGTTGTCTTCGGTCTTACCGATTCCGCTGCTGGCGGCACATCTCGCTCTTGTTTTTCAGGAATGGGGCTGTTCAAAGTGGCCACAAAGCGACCGGCCAACAGGGTTAATCCTGTTATTACTGAGCGCCACTCCAACTATGTTTTGGACGATTAACACTGAGGGTCTGACCTGGTGGGAGATTATGGTCGGTTGTATTCGTAAATCATTTTCCGGTTCGCACGGATCTATTTTTTGGAGCGTTTAAGAGTGAAATAGTTGCTCAGTAGTTCCGTGCGCTTAACGTTACAGAAACGAATCACACAGTCGCTACTCACTACCTGTCTAGTATTTTTGGCTACGCATTATAAATACGTTCACCTACACTTTTAGCAAACAAACGTTTGGACAAACAGTTGAAAAAAATATCTTCAACATTTAATACCTTGTTAAATGACGATTAAGACTTTAATACTTTTTAATGGCCTTAATTTTCACAAAATTGATTTATTACCTTTTAAGACTTTAAGACCCCGTGGACACCCTGTATCATGTGCAGTGGACGAATAGAGTCTGCAGACACACAACGCACTGAGCAGCAGAACAACATGTAGACTATAAGAGCAGCAAACACAGAGCTTCAGTTTACAAGCTGGCAGTCAGACCGTCTAAAGCCTAGTTCACACCACACGACTTTAAGCCTGATTTACCGGTCGCCGAGCTCGCCGACCATCAGGCTGTGATCGGGGGTAAACCAGCGCTTGATCAGCGATCGCCATT